CTGGGTTGGTCCAGTAGCACCAAGGAGGAGCGGCGCTACCAGAGCAACCCAGCAGCACCCCAGCTGCTCTGCCCCAGGCTTCCTGTAGTCAGCTGCTGGTCAGTTTCAGCAGTGGCTGAATCGGGGACACCTGGGGTACAATATGTACCAGTTCCGACTTACATACAAATTCAACTTAAGAACAAACCTACAGTCCCTATCTTGTACGTAACCTGGGGACTGCCTGTACTTTACTGGGAGCTAAACTCTTCTGGAAAATGTAGCCCTGAGTATTCTCTTTTTCTCCCTAGTGAAAGGTTGTTACCTTTCTAGATCTCCAGAATAATCTGTTTATGAATAATTTTTCTTCATTTTTTATTCAATCTTGACATGTTAATTGCATGAGTCTGTTTTTGATTATTCAGCGATAATCATGTGTAATAGACATTGCACTCTTAGTCCTGTCTATTATAACCTTTTTTCCTCATGTATTCTCCTACCTTTTTCTTATCAGATGAAACTCCTTACTTTGTTAAATAACAGGTAAGTAAAATGCACACTATTTAGTGCATATACACAGTAGATTCAGTATTATTTGGCATTATGATATCTTTTTAAGGCAAAATAGGTAACTGAATTCCAAAAATGTAAGGCTTTTAGTTATTGGGGGGGAAAAAGGTTAATTTAACCATTGTAAATCTGGAGCAACTACCCTGACCTAAATTGATTCAGTTTTACACTGCTATAACAGAGCAGTCTTGTTCAGAATTGTGGTGGGTTTTATCCTCTGACTCTTCATAATCTATCTTCATGAGACTTTTTTCTTTTGATTGCCAGCCTGCAGTGGAAGATGCCAGTGTGGATGAAGAACTAACAAGTGAGGTAATGCTGTGCATGTTATAATTTCTGGCTATTTTCTACCTTCATGGGGAAAAAGTCTAGTCCCCACTCCCCCATCCCTTTCAAGAAACTAGCGTGATAATTGACTTTAACTCAAATGCTACTTTGAAAAATGAACATATACTATTTGGCCTGGATCCTGGGGATCTTTCCTAGCAATAAGTCTATTCAACTGTCAAAAAAAGCTATTGATGCCATGATGCTTGTCATTTTAAGAACTGGCCTAGAGAAAGCAACAGTGATTGTGTAAAGCAGGAAACTATTCTGCAGTGGCCAAAGGATAGTTCAATTACTCTAATAGTACTTTTATTTCTGTAATTCCTGACAGCTCCAGAATTGTTACAAAACTTTCAACAGCCATTCTATTCTAAGCATGAAAATGCTATTCTTTCAAAAGTGAGACAGCAAAACTGGTGTGTGTCAGTCTTGTAGCTTAATATGAAGGAAGAAAGGTTTGAGATGTTGAATGGAAGGAGTAGGGGAGAAACCCGATAAGAGTTAAAATGGGAGAATAGATTGAGGGAGGGGTGTGTGTGTGTGTGTGTGTGTGTGTTTGTATGAGCTCTCACATAGAAAGAGAGAGCTCTCTTTCCCCTCCTCCCCACTTCCCCTTCCACCCCATGTACTGACGAGCAGGGAAGAAAAGGGTTGGAGTCAAAGCTAAGAAGGATGAATAAGTAAAAGAGGAGGATAGATATAACATACATACTCTAACTCTTTACATGTTCTCTTGTATACAGATGTAATGGTGATCTGCTGGTCTTCGGAGCTAGTAAGCAGTGCAATTACACAAGTTGCAGTGCACTAGACTCTGCTGTGGTGAATTGATGCTAAATGCTTCCAAGCTTATGGGCTTACTTCCATTAGACTGGCTCTTCATCTCAAATAGATTGTGTTCTCATAGTTTAATAGCAAAGATAAATAAACAGTACTACACTTTTGTCTGCACAATAAAAGTACTTGCTTCTAATAGTAGGTACAGCCTGTAAGTGTTCAGTGCCATGTCAAAACTGGGATTAAAACCTGCTCAGCAGGGCTCCCCCTCATCCCCATGAGCTTTGGGCTTATTGAAACACTTACCCCCAGGAGGTTCCTTGTGAGTCATTCCTCATGTCTTAATAGTTTTTTATTAATAGCTCCCTTCAGGTAGTCGAAGGCTGCTATGAACCCCTCTCCCTACACACACTCTTTTCTTCTGTAGACTAAGTCCTCAGACACTCCTCACAATTCATGTGCCCCATCCCCTTAATCATTTTCGTTGCCTTCTGTTGTATTCTTTCCAATTTGTCCACATTCTGTAGCTGGGGAGCCCAAAACTGGGGGCATTACACTGGACGTGGCCTCTCCAGTATTGAATAGAGGGAATAATCACTTTGCTTGATCTGTTGGCAATGCTCCTACTAGCACATCCCAATATGTCATTAGCCTTCTAAGCAACAAGTGCACACTGTTGACTCCTATGCAGCTTCTCATCCACAGTAATCCCCAGGGATTTGAAAGCTCACAATTGAATATTGATTGAATACATCTTTGAAGTTTTACTATGCCAAAGAAAAATGCTATTTCCCTTTAATTTTTTAGTCCTTTACATTTAACACAATACTGTGCTTTTTTGCTGCTGCTGGATTGTCTACTTCTGGTCCAAATGAGTGAGTGTGATTGACTGGTCAGTTTATAACTCAGGGTTACAAAGACCTGAGGTTCTACTGTATTTTGGAAAGTTCTTATTAGTCAGGTGCTCTCTCTACTGCAGACCTATGATAGTAAGGAAGAGATCCTCCTCTTCACTCTGTTGTTGCTCAGAGTTTTCCCCCATGCCCTCCATTGCCTTTGGTTCTGAGTACCATGTTAGCAATAATTTAAGCGAAATTTCCATTAAAAAATGTTGAGTGCAGCTTGCGGGAACAGATCGGTGGTTTATTCCCTAATACCGTTCAAGAAAGCTATGTTAGAAAAAATAGGAAAATCACAGATCAGGTGAAACTTACTCGGGGTAGTCCTAGAGGAAGTTCCAATAGGAGAGTGACAATCAGAAAACTTAGTTGCTGTCTCAGAGCTATAGGATCCGTGCAATGCCCCATTTTTTTCAGTCTGTTGAAGGAACACCTTCAATCTGGCAGACCCTCAGAGGATCCCATGCTTCCTTAAGGGTAGACCACACAGCCTCACCACAATATACTTTGTTCTGCCCCAAGAACTGATTTAACTCTCTTGCACCCCTAGGTGGCAATGCAAAGTAGAGTGGGGAACTAAGGCATGCATAGGCACCATTATGTTATTACAGAAAGTTCTCACTTCACTGCAGTTGTCTTATATGGAGTTCTCATTGTTTATTAGCACCTTGGTCTTAAGGTTTCTCACTTTGTGGATACTTAAGACAGAAGGCAAAAGTGCATAAAGCACTTACCTGCGGATATAGTCTCATACTCTGCTTTCTGTACCTTCCCTAGCAAGTTGGATGCATAATGAGTAACTGAAAACAAGGAGTGGGACTATGCCTATCTAAACAGCCTGCCACAGTGGGCTTTTATTTAAAAAAAAAAAAAAAAAAGATGCACACACAGGTAGGAGGCCATTTTTCAGTTACTCAGTGTACAAGTGTCCTCTATCCTCATCTTAAGTTTTCTTAAACACTCTTTTATTGCATGGGGTCACAAGTAATGTTTGCTTTTTCAGATCATACCCTGCTGATCACCATGAGATTTGTGCTCTCAGACTGCAGACTATCCAAGCCAGAGTCTGTATAGCACCAAGAGCCTTTAGCTTAGGGTAAATCTTACATATAAAACCACTATAGAGGCATAGCTGTGCTGCTGTAGCACTCTAGTGTAGACACGGTCCATGCTCATAAGAAGGGTTCTCCTCTTAGTATAGGGAAGCCATCTCTGAGAGGTTGTAGTTGGGTTGACAAAGGAATGCTTCAGAGAAGGACTGGTTTCTTGAATGCTAGGAGTTCCCCTCCCCATGGGAACTACTGGCTGAGTAACACTAATATATCTGCCACAGGACATAAGGCAACCTTCTAGCTGATGGATATGCTGCATTCAAATCCAAAGCCAGTATTACCAGGGACACTTAGATCTATATTTCAAAGGGTGGCTTGAAGCCCCTTAATGCAGACAATAGATTGCATTCACTGAAGGGATGTGTTAAATAAAATGCTTTGGGCTATGTCTGTATCCTTTTCCACTGCTATGCACAGTCTGCCTAAACCAGTTAAAACAGCAAAACAAATGAAATTACATTCCTTATTGTCTGAGTTAGTGCTATCTGACTTTGCTGTCCAAGTGGACAAGTTCTCTGAATGTCCCAGCAGGTAAAAATGACTTAAGAAAACACTTTAATAGACAATGATTTGCCAGTACTAGCCAAGCAGCAGGAAGTACTGGCGGTGCCCATGCTATTTCTGAGAATAATTTCACACACAGATGACCGGGCTGTTTTGATTGTCAAAGTGGGGCTGCTTCCAGGCAAATTTATTTCTTTGTAGAAGAGCATTTCCCTCTGTCTGAAAAATCTAAATGTGTTAATGAAACTGATGATTTAGTGACTTAAAAACAGATTTTTTTTGGCCAATGGAAATCTTTATAACTCAGAGTTAAAAGATCCTGTGGTAATGTTAAGGGAGGGTGTTAATGCCTGTGTTTTGACCAAACTTCTGTCTGTCTAGGCTTTTCCTATAGCTTCAGTTGGGAGATGTATTCTCTCTCTCTTCGCTATTGAGAAATTAACTTGTGCACTGCTTAACAGTAAGGCCATGTCCACACTATGTGGAAGATCAACGCTGCCCCAGTCAATCTTCTGGTGTTCGATTTAGCAGGTCTAGTGAAGACCTGCTAATTCAAACTCAGAGGGTGTCCTCGTCAGTGCTGGTACTCCTGCTCTTCACGAGGAGTAAGGGAAGCAGATACACGCATTTGCTCCCATTGACTTCCCACTGCGTGGACAGTGATTTAAGAGACTTTGACAACAGCTATGTAATTAACGTAGTTGGAGTTGCATATCTTAAGTCAATCTTCTGCTCTAGTGTAGAGCAATCCTCATTGTGTTCCTCAGAAATAGCTTCTTCCTTTTAGTGGTAAATTAAATATTTCTACACTTCTGTTCCTCTATACCTTTGCCAGGAGTGTTGCAACTCTTACCTTGAGTATTTTCAGATCTGCTGCTGGAAACATACTATTGAAGTTCAGTGTGTTACTGTCAAAAATGATTTCTCTGTCAGTTGCCACCAATCCAGAAATAGAATTAGATCCTCTCAATTTGTTTAATGAAAACTTGTTAGCACAACTAAAAAAGGTGGGTTTCAGAGCTACTCATCTCCCACTTTCTGACATTTTCAAATAATGATGTTGCATTGGGGAAAAAAAGGATTTTCTACAACAATAAAATCGGTAGCTAGATAAAAACAGAGGCAGAAATGGAATTCTTGTGGTAACGTTTAGAGAGATCACACAGTGGCATATAACCCATGCTTTTGGCGTCTGATAGTGCAAGAAAGGCCACTAGCAGTATCCTCTGAAGCTACTGTAGTATTCACACAATTGTCCAAAGCAGTTTACCAGGGAAACCGAAACAGGTGTTCTAAATATGCTTATCCATAGTTAAGTATCTATTTTATATAAAAGCAAAAGTGACAGGCAGAAGGTGAAAAATTACACTGAACACAAATATTAAAAGATTAAACAGAGCACTCGCATAAGAGCAAAAACTTGATGCTCTTGCGTTCCTGTTGTCATGCCAACAGTGTATTCAAAGAATGTCTGTTTGTTACACTAAACTCAAATGCCTAAAACAAAAGTTTCCTATAAAACTGGGGTGGTATTCAACTGTCAGTTATGGTAAGCACATTTTCATCCTATTTGTTCACAATTTAATGTCACTTAAATTACCTCTATAGCAATTTCAGTGTAGCTTCTGTATGCATAATATCTGGCAAATAATCACTGTTCATTCGGTGCCTGGGCAGATCACTATTATAGTTC